ATGTTGCTGCTGATCTGTTTCAATGTTGCTGCTGATCTGTTTCATGTTACTGCTGATCTGTTTCATGTTGCTGCTGATCTGTTTCAATGTTGCTGCTGATCTGTTTCATGTTAATGTGTTCATGCGTGCTCATCTGCTCACAGACTCATGTTCATGTTCGTGCTGATGTTCGACGTAATGTTTTACGTTATGAGTGCTTAGTGTATATTTAGTTGATGTTTTTCTTAGTTCATATCTTAGATGTTATTACTGTTTTTCTTTTACATTTTATTGTTGGATGTAACTGGGACCCTGTGTACATAATTTCGCTCCACCACATGTACCACATGAGGTGCGAATGACAATAAAGAAACTCTGACTTAATTTTTAGAAGTAGTCATCAAATGCAGAGACAGTTTTATTTTACCAGTTTGTTAATAGATTGTTTTATTAATACTATATTATATAATAGTTTATGTTAGTTGGGTGAATGACCTGATGATCTGACTGTTGATTGCAGTAATCCACATTATTAGCAGAAATAGAAAATCACAAACCTACTTACTCTTAGGGCTCCATGGAGGCGTGGGCCGGCCCTGCTTTATAATGCAACTGATTTTGTTTCCTTTTTATTTCATTTCTTCTATTTACTTTACTTTTCATTGTATATGCCTTTTAAATGATTGTCGGTTGTTGTCTGTACCTCCCCTGAGTTCTTTGTTTAAAACAGGTCCCTCTTGTAAATGAGCCCTCGAGGCTCAATGAGACTAACCTGTAGAAATAAAGATTGAATGAAAAAAAAAAAGTCATCCCAGGACACTAAAGAGAAAAGTAACGTCTCCACATCAGTCCAAAACAGAATCAGCTCAAGGTTTGGTGTTCTCTGACGGAGTGCACATCACCCGTCTCCTTTCATGTTGTCTTTTTTAAGTTAAATCATTTTGACAAATACTGAGTTTCAATTTGTAGTGGAAGTAGCTGAGAGTCATGTACAACCCATACACTGAGCTCTGCAACAGACTGCATTAGATGTTTTTCTTCCCGCCACCACAGCCATAAGAAGAAAACACCAAAGCGGCTACAAACTCATCCAATTTCACAAGTACTGAATAAAAATTTAGTGCTAATAGCTGAGATTTATCCACAACTAACATTAACAGATTTTGTGAGATACTGAGATATTGCATGGAATTATGCATAAAGTTATTTTTTTAAGTTTGACCAAAATATCTTTGGCCTTCTGAAGAAAAAAGAAGAAGTAAAAAACACAACAACTGGGCTTCTATTCTGAAACTGAAGCTGTTTCCCCTTCCATCCAGGAGGCTTTATTTTTATTAACATGCAATGATTTAGTTTATAAAAACTCTGGTCTTCTAGTGGTGAGTGATTCCTTCAAGGAATGCGAGGCCTTTAATGTTGTCGGTTGGAAAACAGGTTTTTATCTTTATGTGATTTTCAGCCTTGGGGGGTTTAAATCACGTTTTTGCTGATCTCTAGATCAGAACATGCTTTTCTTTCATCAAGGTTGAACCCATCTTTGGAGCAGCTTGTGGCCTCAGCACCTTCAGCACCACAGCTGACAGACACGCAGCACCTATATAAAGCCCCGTGAAGAAGTTGCCTCACTGAGAACCCGCTCTTCATTTTTACACGTCCTCTGCCTCGGACCTTCTGAGAAGCCTGCACACATCAAACATGGCAGCTGCTAAGGGTCTGGTGTGTGTGTTGGTGGTGCTGCTGGCTGAGGTGTGTGTGGTTCACACAGAGGACAGGATCAAGATGTGCGGGCGGGAACTGATCCGCCTGGCTGTCTCCACCTGTGGGAACTCCCGGCTGAGGAGAAGCATTTCGGACACGGCGATGGGTCAAGATCACCACACCACTGGCTGTACGCTCTCTGTTCAAGCACCCGATTGTTTACATCAAGATTTATGTTTACAGTCAGGTTTAGGGAAAACGTGATGAATACTTAACGTCAGGAAGTTTAAGTGTTCACTTTGCTAATGTAGCTGCGTGTTGTCCACAGGGGGCCACGACTCCTCAGCTGAGCAGGACCAGACTTCAGAGATGCTCCACACGCCTCCACAGTCTGATGGGAAGGAAGCGGTCTCCTCTTTGGCTCCTCACTGGCCCCCCCGCACCTCCAGGATCACACGAGCTGCTGGAAAAATATCTGACATCTGTTGTGAGAAGGGATGCAGCATGAAAGAGCTCATTCAGTTTTGCTAAACGTTGTCAGACTGGTTTTAGACAGAAACAGGAGCTCATACTGGGCAGTGAATCCACAGCAGACATTTAGTATGGAACCTAATATTTAAGACAGTAAATAAGTTTTATATATTTTTGATGTAACAAACTATAATAATAAATCTGTAATAATAAGATCTTGATCGTATCATAAAGTGTTAGCACATGTGATTACTGGAACAGATTGTTTATTTTCTGTTAATGTTAATTTGACAAAGTTCTAAAAAATGCACTGAAATAAATTATTGATCACAACAAACTGATTGATTTATTTTACTGTGATTCAAAGAAAGTACCAAAAATCATATTCACTTCAGCATGGCATTATATAAACATCCATCCATCCATCCATCCATCCATCCATCCATCCATCCATCCATCCATCCATCCATCCATCCATCCGTCCTTCC